TTTAGGGTTAGGTTTAGGGTTAGGTTTAGGGTGCTTCGGAAGGCGCTGATTTGCCCTCCGCCCTTATGTCAGCATGGTAAGGTTGCATTTGCTTTAGCGATTTGGACGGCGCGGATTAGCACTCGCGCTTATATCTCCGCGGATAAGGGCTTCGCAGTATTGTGGTGGAACCATAGCCTTCAGTACTGCATTCTAACCACTGCACCACCACGGCTCATATTACCAGATACAACACTTAAACATGTTATCTACTCCCTCCTCCACTTTCATGGACAGTAGTCTTTTACTTCTGAGCTATATTAGCAGATTTCAATAGTTTTAGGTTTTGCTTGAAGCAAGAATATTAATAATATTAATAATAATAAGAGTATTTGAGACCTCAGCACACATACACCTCATAGAGAGAGTTTCAGTTTTTTTAGGCTATAGAATGAATAAGTCCCAGACATTGGCTTAGTAGGTGCAGCATGCATGCTTCTCTAGGACTCTGAGGTAGTGTCATTTTTCAGAGTTATGGGATGAGTAGTGTCAGTTCAAAATCTCTTTAGTATTGGCTCTGAAATGTCTCTCTGAATGGCTAGACAGTGCAATTTCAATTTTCATTCATCAGGAGGGTTACTGGCTGGAAAAAAGCTGATTTAGGAAGTTCCTTTAGTCACCTTGCTTTCAGTCTCCCCAAATTCTGCTGCCAACATTATGAACTGTGTGATCTATGATCACAGGTGTAGAGATGTAAAAGTTCTAAAAATTTAGGGGATACAGAAAAAACACACAAAACGTTTGGGGAGAAATGAAATATATGCAATGCTAACTTTTCTTTAGCATATTTTATTCAGCAATAGTTTGTGAGCATTTAGAAAATGAATGTACTTTTTGATAGGAGCCTGCAAGAAGTTATGAAGGATAACCAAGACAATAAGCAGCTGGATGGAAACAACGGGGATAGGTGGGAAGTGTAGGTAGGTGCAGTGTGGTAAAGAGTGCTGGGAGACATGATAGTACTATTCACATTTCCAAAGGGTTTTAGATATGTAGAAGAAGGATAGGAATTGTTGCTAACTGTTCTAGAAAACAGAATAAGAAACAATGGATTTATAATGTAAGGAAATAGATTTCAGGTAGGGGGAAATCTATCTATAGGAGCTGATTGACACTGGAAGAGACTGTCTTGGGAGACAGCAGGCTCCCTTTTGCTGGTAGTATTTAAACAGAGGCTGGATGGACATCTGTCAAGATGCTGAATTAATGGATCTGCAGAAGGCAAGCACTACACTAATTGCACTTTAAAATACTTCCCAATGATTACATTCTGTGGCTTTATGAAACAAAAGGCACTTTTCTCAGAATTGTTCTATTACCCTCCTTTTGCCATGTATTCACATCTCTAATCTGGACCTAGTGGGTTAGGTATCTACGGTTGTTTCTGCCCAGCTATCAGATGAAAGAAATAGAAACAGGTGTGTATAAAACTAGTACTTGTGCCTGGAAGGCAATATTATACTTCTGGATAAGGGCTAGCAAGTTGGATCATATTACATTGATCATGTAAGAGCAAGATTGATTATCAGCATTGTTTGGGCTATAAATTAAAGCAAGTACAACAGTCCTGAAGCTTTTCATGTCTTAGTGTTAATATATCTTCTTAGACTAGGGCTGGGAGTGGGGAAACTTACAGATTCTATATCATCCATAACAACCTTGCCTGAGTCCCCCTTCACCAACCTGAAAAGGATATACATTTGAACTAACTTAGAAAATTAGTGAGATTCAGTATTCTCATCAGACAGAATTCCTGCTTTGGGGTACAGGAAGACTATTCTTAAAAAGGTGCCCTACAGTAGCTGAATGACAGTGGTCTGCAAAATTTGGCTTTTTGTGACAAATAAATGTGTTTTAGCAGAAGCCTAATGGACTTCTTTTAAAAACATGCAAGGGAAGGTAACCAGTGAAAATTTTTAATTTGCCTTCTGGTCTTCGTAGAAGCCTGAAAACATAAAAGTTGGAGAATTTCACAGTAACCAAAGTGGTTGCCTGTTTCTGCTTTAGGGACTCTTCTACCCAGTATGTATTTCTCACACCATAATATTTGACTCCTTCCTTATTTTCCAACTTTGATGAGGTCCAATTGATGAGGCCAACTGCTGTAGCTTTCTCAGGGGTGGCACCAACTTTTCTTATTTTTTAGGAGCCTGGGTTGGGCATGGGCACCTGTGTTGGTGAATATTTTTGTAGGGACACATTTGTTCCATGTAAATCTCAAACACAATTTCGATTTTAACTCCTCTTACCTGATTTTGTTATCATCTAAACCTTTCTTTTGTATTTACCTCCTTACCTACATTTCTTTCCTGGGCAGCCATCCTGACCATCACAANGTCTCTCAAGTACCCAGGTCCAATACCATGTAGGGCTTTAAAAGTAACGACTAGCACCTAGGGCAGGGGGTGACATGCACATGCGTTGGGGGTTGTGCATGCATGCACGGGGGGGCACACACATGTGTGCAAAAAGGTTAGCCATCGCTGGAATAGAATAACAGAGTTGGAAGGGACCTTGGAGGTCTTCTAGTCCAACCCCCTGCTCAGGCAGGAAACCTTACACCACTTTAGACAAATTGCTATCCAACATCTTCTTAAAGACTTCCAGTGTTGGGGCATTCACAACTTCTGGAGGCAACTTCTGTTCCACTGATTAATTGTTCTCACGGTCAATAAATTTCTCCTTGGTTTTAGGTTGCTTCTCTCCTTGAATAAGGTTTGGGAATGACAGTGTAGGGCTTAGCAGATGTGGTCTTGCCAATTATAGCTTATTACCAACCATGGTTAAGTAAATATTTTGACATAATATGGAAGGGAAGTTTGTTTGGCCAGCTAAGTTGCCTGAGTTTATTGTGCTTTATTAAATCAACGGAAATAACAGATAACCTGAGGCAATGAAAAATTATGTATGAATCTTTCAGCGTTATAACAATATTGACCCATTATGTAGTCTAAAATAACGTTATAAATAGCCCCTGTAAAGTATAAGATTAGTGATATGATACAAATCAGCTGTAAGGACAGGACTTGGTTAAATTTAGTGGTATGTTTAGGTAAAGGTAAAGGTTCCAGATTCACTTAACAACCATGTTACTGACTTAACAATGGCAGGGATTAACTTAACAATGATGGCAAGAAAAGTTGTAAAATGGGGCAAAATTCGCAATTGTGTCGCTTAGGAACTTTGGGCTCAATTGGAGTCGTAAATCAAGGACTACCTATATGAAAATCCAAGCAATAGGGACTGAATGCATTTCTCAGACATGCAATGTTTTTAGAAATACTTTCCCCCTAAGCAAATAGAGTAGAGTAGAGTAAAATAGAATAGAATAGAGTAAAATAGAATAGAATAGAATATAGAATAGAATAGAATATAGAATGGAATAAAATGGAATAGAATGGAATAGAATGGAATAGAATGGAATAGAATGGAATAGAATAGAATATAGAATGGAATGGAATGGAATGTAGAGTAGAGTAGAATATGGAATAGAATAGAAAGTAGAATAGAATAGAATAGAATAGAATAGAATAGAATAGAATAGAATAGAATTCTTTATTGGCCAAATGTGATTGGACAGACAAGGAATTTGTCTGGTGCAAATACTCTCAGAATAGAATAGAAAATAGAATAGAATAGAATAGAATAGAATAGAATAGAATTCTTTATTGGCCAAATGTGATTGGACAGACAAGGAATTTGTCTTTGGCGCAAATACTCTCAGTGTACGTAAAAAGACAAAATACATTCGTCATGAATCATAAGGTAGAACACTTAATGTTAGTCATAGGGTATAAATAAGCAATTAAATCATAAAAGAAAACATAAGGATACAAGCAACAAAGTTACAGTCACACAGTCATACGTGGGAGGAGATGGGTGATAGTTACAGTCACACAGTCATACGTGGGAGGAGATGGGTGATAGGAAGATGAGAAGATTAATAGTAGTGCAGACTTAGTAAATAATTTGTCAGTGTGGAGGGAATTGTTTGTTTAGCAGAGTGATGGGGTTCGGGGAAGTGTTATTCCCTCTCCACTTTGCCATGGACTGGCAATTCTTTCTTTGGAAGGAAGAATCAGAAGGTTGGAAAGGAAGGGAAACTGTATATTATACTTTATTGGTAGGCAATATTAATTACTGTTCCCAAGGTACGTGTCCTTTCCAAGATAAGGTTATTGGCAGGTTGGCAATGATTTACAAGGAAAGCACCATCTTCTTATTTTCTGGTGGTTTTTTTTCTACTAATGGAAAGATAAGATTATAAAAGGGAAAATGTAAGGGTAACTGCAGAAGAGCACTGGACTTCCTTCTCATTCTGGATTTGGATTTGAGGTGTCATCATCGTTGGTTGTGATGGTGGGATAATTTTATTGCTTGGAATCCCATTTGTGGTTTTCCCCCAGCTATTTCCTCTTCTGTTTCCTCCAGACCTCTTGGGAAGCGGATCAGATTATTTAGCTGCTGAAGAATAGCTCGTCTCTGCCGTCGTCATGGGATCTGGTTTGATCTATGCATCTGTGCTCCTCCTGTGCTTCTGGTTACGTGAAGGGAATTCACAGAACCTCATCAATGACCAAAAGATGAAGACGACCCTCCTGATCAATGAGGTCAACGCAGATAATCCAGGAGATGACACCATGGAGTATTTGGAACTCTACCACGTCAGCGGACAAAGAGTCGCTTTGAACGGATATCATTTAGTCCTCTACAACGGGAAGGGAAATGTAGCCTACAAAGTCTTGGATCTTGGCAACCTTTTCACAGATGACCAGGGTTTTCTCCTGGTTGGGTCTGGCAACCTTGTCCCAAGGCCAGCTATCATCCTCCCGAAGGGCAGCATCCAGAACGGGCCGGATGCAATTGCTCTCTATTTTGGGAGGTCGAACTTGTACGTAGGCATGCCTGTAAACAATGAAAATTTGGTAGATGCTTTGGTTCATAAATCTAACAAAAGGGACAAAGCTGATGAGTTGGTTCGCGTTCTGACCCCTGGCACAGAACCTTTCTTGGAGGACCCTTCATTCCGGATCACCGACGATGAGTCTATGGAGAGGTGCCAAGGGATGGATTCTCAAAGGTTCTTCCAACTAGGGGCACCAACTCCAGGCTCAGATAACCACTGCATTCCTTTCTCACAGCTGAACGCCTCTGTTGGGCTGATCAATGAGGTTAAGTTGGCCTCCTCTCTTGGAGACGCTGAGTTTGTGGAGCTCCAAGGCCACCCTTCCGTAGAGGTGAAGGACCTGGTGCTGGTGCTGGTGGAAGGAAGCACCCAAAAGATCTACTCTGCCATGGAGGTCAAGGGTGAAACGTCTCCTGATGGGTTACTTCTGTTGGGTTCAGGACTGTCCAAAATTCCAGGTAGAGCTAGATATTTTGTCTATATCTATTTGTCCAGTTTCTGACATAGTATCCATTGGCCACTAGGATCAATAGCCATTGGCTAGCTCACATAACATATTAGGAAATTCTGCCACCCCCTCCCCCCCTCAAAGTGGTTGTAAATTGAGGACTATCCGTAATCCTTGATTTACAACCATTTGTTTAGTAACTGTTCAAATTGATAATGGCAGTGAAAAAAAGTGAGTTAGGACCATTTTTAACACTTATGAGACTTGTGGCATCCCCATGGTCACATGACCAGAATTCGGCCACTTAGCAACTGGTTCCTATTTATGACGGTTGCCCTGACCTGGGGTCATCTGATCCCCTTCTTGTCGATTAGAAAGGTCGGCAGTTCCGCGGTTCGAATCCCTAGTGCCGCGTAACGGAGTGAGCTGGGACAATATTTCCCCCCATGCTCCAGTTTTGTGGGTAGATAGATGTTTTCCCAGTCTAGTCTTATAACCAGATTCTGTACCTAAGGGAGATAAGAACCTAGACTTTTACACTTCTGTCCATCACTTTAATCTAATTTAATACAATATATCTGCTTATCATTGTTCCAATAGTGCCATACCCAGCAACTAGGCTTTTGCTCTTCATATTTAACGTCCACATAGAATGTGTGATTGGGAAAATTCATATGCATTCCCTAACCACATCACTGGAACAGAAGTTAAACAAATGGTATTTTGTTTGTTATAAATAAGTGGCATTATTTTTGCATCCATATGCACAAAAACATTGTAGGCTTATATTTTCACCTCTTTCCAACTTGGTACTTTCAATATTTCTTAACCTGAAATTGTCCATTTGTTCCCCTTAGAGTAATAAAATTTGTCCCAGCTTCTGCCAACCTAGCAGTTGGAAAGCAAGTAAAAAATGGAAGTAGAAAAAATAGGAACCACCTTTGGTGGGAAGGGAACACCGTTCCGTGCACCTTCAGCGTTGAATCATGCCGGCCACATGACCACGGAGACGTCTTCGGACAGCGCTGGCTCTTCAGCTTTGAAACGGAGATGAGCACCGCCCGCTAGAGTTGGGAACGACTAGCACATATGTGCGGGGGAACGTTTACCTTTACATTTAATGAGTGAAGTCAATGGGGAAGCCAGATTTGCTTAACAACTGTGATGCTAACTTGACAACCGCAGGGGATTCACTTAACCAATGCAGCAAGAAAGGTCGTAAAATGGGCAAAGCTCACTTAACAAAGGTCTCACTAAGTAACAGAAATGTTGGGCTCCATTGCAGTCTTAAGTTGAGGACTAGCTGTACCTATATAGGCATCCTTTAATAATGCTACCAATAATGTTCTCTTTCTTTCAGAGGGCGCAGCTCACTTTCAGAATTTCACTTTCCACCAGAATTCCAGCACCACCTCCCTTCTCAAAGCAGGAACCAACGCCGTTGCCCTCTATGGTGGGTCCATCAGCCACTTTGTGGTGGGCTCCAGAATCACGTCGACACCAGCTCTTCTGGATGCCTTGGTGTACACAACGGTGGAGCAGCTGAGTTCGGAGCTGCTGGACATCTTGACCCCTGGGAAGCCTCCCTTCTACGTGAGCAAACAGTAAGGAAGTGGGATGCAAGCCGAAATGTTCTGTGAACCCTTGCAGAAAACCTGGGCCATGCCGAAACAGATTCCCAAATTTTAGGTCTAGAAAATGAGGGGCACAAAGAAATGTGAGAACTGCTATTTGGGGCAGGTAAAAATATGCATTTATGGCACAGCACAACAATCAGGAAAACCCCAAGGGAAGTTGTACTGCTACCTTTGATCCATTCAACAGTCTGATTTACCTGTTGGCTGAATTGTTGTTGTTGTTAGTTGCGAAGTCGTGTCCGACCCATCACTACCCCATGGACAATGTCCCTCCAGGCCTTTCAGTCCTCTACCATCCTCTGGAGTCCATTTAAGCTCATGCCGACTGCTTGGTGACTGCATCCAGCCACCTCCTTCTCTGTTGTCCTCTCCTTCTTCTGCCCTCCATCATTCCCAGCATGAGGCTCTTCTCCAGGGAGTCCTTCCTTCTCATTAGGTGGCCA